ATTGATTCATTAAAGAATGGATGCAGAGACATATAAAGTTTATGAAATAAAGGAAAATAAAGTAATATACCCTAAATTTATTTTAATAATTTTGCATAGGAAAATCAAATTATGCAGTACCAATGTTAAGAAAAGAATAAAATGTTTAGCTTATTAACCCATTTGCTATAAAATCCTCAGCCCTAAAAGACATTGACAATCACCTGTGTGAAAAGTGCAATAACACAAGTAAACACAGTTATTATTCTATAATCTACACCACAATCAAAAGCAAAACAATTAAAAAGAAAGAAAAAAATCCACCAAAGATGGTAAGCAAATATTCTTGCAATTTGTGTAAATAAAAAATAAGGGGAGATTAAGAAAGTAGCTGACCTCACAGACAGATAGTTATTGGAATAGTAGAAGATCATGCAGAGAAGAAAGGTCCAGAAAGAAATATAACCAGTAAACTTCCTTGCTATTGTCAGCACACTAGCACTCTGCTAAAAGAGATTTACATGGAGAAAGAATGCAATATTTTGCAGGTTAGAGCTCATATTTCAAGAACATTGTTAATTGCTTCACTACAGTCTTCTTATGTATAAGAAATTGCCCGACAAGGGATCAAGTAAGTAAAATTACTCACTGTTCAAGAGAATGAAATGAAGAAAAGAGCTTACAAGCTTGTTAGGCAGGCTGATACTTCCTGAAAGATCGATGTTGGCTAGACTAGAGAAAGAAAACAAAGGGCAGTGAGTTGGAGCAAAGCTCAGAACAGAAGGCAGCACTTGCTAAATTATGTGCTCTCTGCAAAAGCGATGGAAAAACGAAGAAATTAAAAGGTGGGAGGGTAAGTCAACGAAACTGTTTAGGAAATAGCAGAGAAATAATGCAATGGTCTTTGGCTGATTCCATCTTTCTTCAAACACTATGATTGCCAGGTGATTTTACTGGAGTCATTGTTTAGTATTTTCTTGGTTATTGGAGTGTTAGCTTTATTGGGTTATTTTATTGGAGTGTCGGCAAACGAAATAGACAGTTTTAAAGTAACACCGCCACAAAAAATAAAGCCATTGCAAAGTGGAAGACACCCATCTGAAGGTGCTCAACAGTCATTGAAATATATACAAGAGCAGAGAAAATGGGCCTGCGGACGGTGGTGATTTACTTCCAAATGACTTGAGCTTAAATCTTAGTAAATCTGTATCCCCGTGATCTCAGAAAAGGCATACTGGAGAAGAGAAAAGATACTGCGATGACCCTGTAAAGCTTGAGATTGTCATTGAAGATGTAGTTGAAATTGAACTATAGTTGCCTAATGAATACTGTTTCAGTTTGTTTCTAATTTTGTATTCTGTCTTGTAAGTGTGAGACTGATGGTAAAGTGTGGGCAGACTTAATAATGGCAGATATGATGCGCCATTGCCATTGCCATGTATAAATATCAAAAAATGAATGTAGAAAAGTATGATGTTTTAGGTTTTAACAGAATCATGGCTTCTTGTTGCTCTTCCCTGTTTTTCCTAGTTCGCTAAGCTGAGACTTTTATCTAGTCCTTCACTAAGGGGCCACGACCCTTTGCTTTTTCTTATGATAAAAGACAAGCCCTATGAATTGAACCCAAGTCATGATTTGTCTTTTATGATCAAAAACTCCACAAGAAATTAGGAAAGGGATTTACTATCTTTTTTTTTTTTTTTAAGTCAGGACTTTTGATATTTTTATTAATTTTTTTAATTAAATACAAAAGTGATGGAAAAACGAGGAAGTCCACGACCCTTTTGAGGGTGCAAAGAGATCTTAACAAGAACTAACTGAAAAAATAAAATCAAAACAGAGAGGATCTGCTTCTATGGTGTATCTGTTCTTCCATTGGACAATTAAAGGCATATTTTCTTTCTAATTGAATGCACATTTTCTTCCTTTTGACAATTGAAGAACAAATCTACACATTTATACAGTTGAAACTAAGCCATACGATTCAAGATTTTCTTTTGCACAAAGACTAGAGTACACCCGAGGAATATCAAAAGTCAATTCAAATCAGACTAAACTGCTTGTATGATGTATCTATTCTTTCCTAGATTAAAGTTCAGCCAAAATCTTAAGTGAACAGCTATCTTGCTACAGAAGGATCATCTCTTGACTTCTTTTCCTTCTGCAAACTGGTAAGCTACTGAAGGAAAAAGAAACAAACAAATAATAAGTCGTGAGAAAGCTATGTACACCAACAACTGAGAATCATTTGCTTGTTGCTAGACCAGTTCATGCATCCCCATTGTCAGAGCTGCTACTGGCTTGATTAGGGAAGACAAAGTTCCCAAAATGTCCATCCAAGCTCATCTGCTGGGCCTGCAATTCCCAAGGGGAGAGGATCTTTGATGCATCAGACACAGGAGACAAACTCCTTGAAATGGACCAGACGTAAAACTGTCAAGAAAAGGACTAAATAAATTGAAAATCACAGGATCGAGCAAATCCTTTATGTTTACCATATATATATATATATAGACACATACATATAAAAGAGAATTCAACCAAGTGGACTGGATTACATATAAAAAAACAACTTAGAACAGGACAATTCAACCAAGAAAAAAGGATCACATCTCCAACTCTTAATTCTAGCTAAGACGTGGTACTCATTAGTATTTTCTTTTTCATGAAAAAGGAAACAATTTAAACAAGATAAAAGAATCTCAAATATGCAAATACAAGAAGAAAGGAACTCTAAGTTAGAATTGTATGTGGTTGAACAAATAAAAAATTCATGTATCACAAAGTAGCAAAATCAATTTGAAAAGTGGAAACAGACTATTGCATGTTTCAAGGAAGGAATACCATTTATGCTTCTCACATTGTGGCAGAAATTGGATATTTATACTGCACGTACCCCTGCCACATATAGAATGAAAGAGTCACCAAAAAGGGCAAAAAAAAAAAAAATGAAGGTTTATGATTAAATAATGAAGAAAAGACAGATTATAAACAATACTTAGGGTTTTAGTGTGGCATTTCATCCAGCAACCTTTTCTCTACACC